TAATAGTCAACTTGGGCGGTGCCCTCATCCCTTATCATGTGATAGACATCTTGAGCTCAAAATCTAATTGTTAAATAGTACTTTATTTGACACATTGAGATAGCACATGTACATGTACTAGTACCACCACACATTCAGTAGAACATCTATTAAGTGTTAACTATTACTATGGTGTATATTACTTTAAATCACTTGATGTACCATAAAGTGAATATTAAAGGCAGTCAGTAAGGATAGGACAACATTATTAATAGACATACATATAGCAAAATTTATAATCTTTGTAAACAGAAAAAAAAAAACCTGAATTAAGTAACTGTATGTAGCCCAACTTGACATTATATTTGATTAATTAATGCTGTCAGCATCAGTAAGGATAATTTAATATTATTACCATCAGGGTCTCCCAGTCCTTCTACTAAAGACATTGCAAACTGGTTTGCCTCCTCCTGATATTTTTTCTTTTCTTCTGGATCTGGCTCACAACGTTCTCTCCTTTGTTTTTTTGGACGATCAAATGACAAACCTGAATGAGGAAGTAACAAATTAATTCACATAGTTTAATGTTTCCATCAACACTGTTCAGTTATGTCAAATTCCCTGTTATTTTAAACTCAAAACTTTCCCCCTGAGATTTACCCCCCATCATTTACAATCAGCTATTTCAGACTATTTTTCGTTTCCCTACCCTGCGAGTTTGAAATCGAGGGGTTGTAATCCAAAGGTTCTGGGTTCAAGGCCTCCACCCTGCCATTAGCGGGATTTGTTTCTCGGTAGTACCAAGTTCAAATCGGCCTAGGTAACGCTTTGTAAATAGACAACTGGTCTGCCTCCTGCCAGTTGGGATTTTTAACTATGTTACGTTTATTTGAAATATTTGTTTCAGTGGCATGCCTGTAAACTAGCTAAGGTTAGTGCTTGTATAACTAAGTGCATGACCACTATAAATAAGATTTACAAATTACATTACATTTTTTTTTACATTAGGTTTCCTAGATACTGCAGCTGCAGTATGTTTGGGTGGCATATTTGTAAGTGCTTGAAATGCCAATATCATCCAGAGATTTATTTATAGAAACACTTGGAGAAGTTTGGGAGCACACAACAATCCTGTGGAAACATGTGCGTGTGGCTCAAGCTCCAACAGCATTTCTTGTTCTCCCAAACCTCCAAAGACTATAACTCGACAGAAACAAGGAAAATGTTTTCTTTCTCTTAGCTACATGTAGTTATTAATCAAGTTCATGTTAGAATAGTGTATTGCTAATTATAAGTAATAAGAGTAATATTAACTACATGTATCTCTTAATTTATTGTTTGCTACCTTGGAAATTAAGTGTTGTATATAGTTTTCAGTTAATTAAATTTAAAGAACTGTCTTGCCAAATGGAGGTTGAAAGTGTATCTGAGACATCCAAAGTCATACCAAAATGCTGCCAGATAAATGGTGAGTTTGGTGGCTTTTGGTTACCATAATAATACATGTACACCTGCACTGTACATCTATAACAAAGAAAGTCCTCAACACTTTAGCATCTATGGGATGAATTCCACCCCACCCTCTAGTCTCTACAGGTTAACAGGCCTGCAGGGTTAACAATGGCGGTTAACATCCCTTGCTCTCAATAAACCTGGGCATTCACTAGCAAAATTACTATTAATAATTATTCTAAACAACTTGCAGTACACATGCATGCAAAGTAACCCTACCACAAGCATTGCACAGAGTGAGGGTCTTCCCTGTTGCTGGATCAACTTTATGTCGAGGACTTGGATGATGGGAAGACAGTTTGGGGCGGTTTCCCCGTCTGGAAGGGTTGATTACATATGGAGAACCACACAAGTCACACTTGAATGGGGTGCCAGGATCACGACGAGGTATTCTGAGAAGAGGATTTAGCCGTCTTCTCCTCTTTTTCTTTGTTTTGAGCTCATCCTCAGATGGGGATTGAAATCGCATTGGTTTCCTTTTCCTCTCACGTTCACTTGATCTCCTCCTATCCATGTCTTCAGAGGAACCCTTTAAACAGTGCAAAGAACTTTGAATGATTTACAACAAAACTATATTGCCACAAATACATACAGTGGCCAACACAATCAATGTGACATACGTGTGGTGCGCGATGGGACGGTTGCATATACCGGTACATGTAATACCATCAAATATAAATACAACTTACAGCTTTCCTGTATTCTGACTGGCTGTATTTTCTATGGCATGGCATACATTGTACATATACAGTGTACAATGCATGATATTCTCCGTAAAGTACATTAAAATACAAATTATTTAAACAGGAAACAATGAAGTGAAATAAAATTACTGAACATGTCATGTACCATTTAATTTGAGGGTATTTGCTTTATGGTTACGTGTACATTATACTCCTACTATTGTTTCCTGTAAATTTCAATGCTTAAACATGGGGCAAGCCTATAAAACGCAAGGACATGCCACCTTTGAAGCACTTTGTTGGCCTTTTTTGTGTTATGGTGGGAAGCCAAAATAATGGTCACACAACAGTAGATGTCGTGGAAAAATAGAATTGTTTTTGTAATTAAATATGGTACATTGTAATAAATATACAGTAACAATATTGTACATAATAAAAATACAGTGAAAAACAGACATGAAAATGATAAATTCTCTTCATCTGTTTTGACAGTACAGTCAGTTTAGGGAACATTCAAATTTCACTACTAACTAAAATAGCAAAGCTCTAGCCTGAAATCAATCAATGAGCCAAGGATATTAAAACTACTCATATTTGTACATGTAAATGTACATATGTGTATTAAGCATAAAGCATTTAATGCACAATAACATGTATTGTAAATGTCCCAGGTGCATGTATTACCTCGCCATCTCCAATATCTGACAGGCTGCTTTGGGTGAAATCTAAGGTGGATTCTTGCAACTCCTTTGATGGTGAAGTATTATTATGTCTTTCATCCATAGCACTGCTGCTGTTTTGATCCCTGTTATGCCCAAAAATGACACTAAACACTGGATCTTCGGCTGAAGAAGTCTGGTTAAGAGCACTGGTAGATGCTGTATAAAGGTTTGAGCCACCACTTGAGCTACTGGCTTCCATTCCCAAACTTGGGTTGTGGGCGGTTGGAATATCCTTTGATGTCTGTTGACCAGGTGCATCAAGCAGGTTACTTGAAGAAGAATTTTCAGCAAGGAGTGTTGATACTGCCAGACTTTCACAGGCAGTGCGTACTAATGTCTCTAATGCACTTGTATTTGGTGCCTGTGAAGTCTGAAGTTCAGATTCTGTGTCATCCTCTTCTGAAGTAGATGAGCCTATAAAGTAATTAAAGACTTAAAAAAGAGTTATTACATAAAGTATTTAAAGCCTCTTAATCCCAACAGCTCTTGGTACTTTACTCCAGTTTCTGTCACATGAAGTAGCCAAGAGTATTGCCACTCCCCCAAGATAGGGCACTAGTCGTGGAGTCTCCTGGGAATTGAAAGGAAGGCAATATGAAATGTTTTGTAGCAAATAGCACTGAGAATGTTCAGAACCTCCCAACTCAAACAATAGGAAGACAGAACTCATGCCTACATTAATTAATGGAAAAATGAATGCTGTATACTCAGAATTTAATTTGGGACACTTTAATATAATTATTTTTATGGTTGCCACAATGAGGAAGGCATTTTAAGTGATATACCTGATCATAGACTAATAACATTATAAGACCATTGTAACAAAACTTGCTTTGTTTGAATTGTGAGCTGCATGAGATTTGCAATTAATGTAAAGCACCATGAGCAGCACTGTCATTGGTACAAACCAAATACATGTAAATAACATTTCACAATTCTGACATTGTGGCAGTAAGTGTTGTTTGCCCTTGTTTATGGGCATTTCGCCTGGAGAAAGACTGAGCTAAGGCAGAGGGCAAAGAGGAAGGTCAGGTTTCTGGATTTCCTGCCATTTTCTAAGGACACAATTAATACCACAACTGAGGAAAACCTTCACTTAAATACAATGTACTGATCTGTCAACAATCTTGATAGGGTGAAGCAAGTGTCACAGTTTGTGTATGAAAATCTGACATTTGATTTTTATACTTATGATTTCTTTCTTCCTGCTTCAGCAATACTAAAATGTATGAACTTACAGTTTCTCCATTTCACCTCAAAACATTCCTAGAATAAAAAATGTAATTTTTATGCTGCAAATTCTATTCCATATCTTTGCTCTGACTGGTTTAAACAACTCTATAATGGTAACTGAACTGAGTGGAGTGCAATTTGGTCTGAAATCATATGCATGATTTCAAAATCGAATGAGCGCACAGCACAAGTTCAATTTGAAACCACAAGTATGATTTCAGACCAAAATTGCACTCCACTCAGTTCATTTGCCACTTCATTAGATCCACTTTGAAATCGCACAATTTTATCGCCTTAATATCGCTATAATCATGCAGGGGTTTAAGCCAACATGATGAGCTAAGTTATCTGTCAAGCCATGTAATAATTATTACTTCATTTTTATCAAGAGTGGTCCTATCTCCGTTTTTGGAGCTACACCAATTAGTAAAGAAAGAGAAAATGTTGCTGAAGGTGAAGTCTTTCCTCAGGGGATATCATGCACACATGGATGATTGGGAACCAAATGCAGAGGATGAGTATTTGCTGAAGTGAGAACCAAAAAAACGTAAATGATTCAAATGCTGTTGTAGTGGTTCAAGTGGCAAAAGAGGAAACGGATATGCCAAACCAAGTTCAAAAACCACTGAAAATGGCTACCAAGCAAACATTACACTCGAACAACTTGACAGACTAATTTGATGTAATCGAACATGTTCCTAAACTAATGGCAACATGGTTGACTAAGTTTTTAACGAGACCATTGAATTCAGGAAAGGCCATGATTAAAGGAAGCGCGTAAACAGAGGAGGTGGCTATGATCTAGAAGTGTCATGTGAATATCATTTTCAAGGGGATGACTTCTTGTGCAACTGGCTTAAACAGAAATTAATGAAAGAAGAATTTGATCCGCAATGCTGACAAGACTTTTGACCTCAAGGCAGAAACATTNTGCGTCTTAAGTAGAAAAACGGCGAGGATGCATTATCCTTCTGGACGGATAATGCGTCCTCTAGTATAAAAAATAACCATTGATTCGATCTTCATTTTCTGCAAATTAGAGCATGCATGAAATGGACACACATCCCAACTAAACATCAACGTTCAAAACATAATGTAATCTGCGTTGCAAGTGTAAACAGGGAAGCGGTAGGGATCAGGTGACAAAAAATGCGTGGAAGAAAGGGAAGGAACAGCACCCTATCCCAATAAAGAAGCTTGTTTCCAATAAGCATCCCAGTTTAATTTCCTCAACCTGTAAAACTCAAATAAGCAAAAAGGACGCTATGCACACACAGAAGTATGGAGTGCGGACCTATTTTTTAGGAAAGGGGTCAATAAATTTAGAGAACAATCCTTAAGGTTTGCAAAGCATTATTAATAGGGCGATTTCAAACAGGGTTGGCCATTTGGAAGTTAATCACTACAGCAAAGCAAAAGGATGGATTGGCTTCTTCTCTTATGTTGAATGTTTTCGTAGCAAAGATCTTTCAAATTGTATGATTTTCTAGAAGGACATTTAATGCGTAAGAAAATAACCATTATTGATCGTCAACTCAGGGAAATGTAGTCGCCATCATGGCGACTAAACCAGAATTTTTGCTGAATTCTGGTTGCCAAGGATGAAATGTTAGTTGCATTTCGAGCCCTGGGATGTCTTTTAAAATACTGTGCCTGTGATAAGCCTGCAGTCTTGAAAAAGGAAATGGCCAAATTGGCCCTTTTTCATTTTCTCTGGGGGCCATCTCTAATTGCAATGCAGGATTTCTGCAATGGCGTGCTCTGGCGGAAACACTGATTTTTGGTGTATTGTTCTAGTAGCCGGTTTGTTAAAAATAGTGGAACTGGAAACGCCTTTACATTTCAAAACAATGTCATGTGATGAAAACTCATTTGAGCATAAGAAAGGAAGAAGCAGTTCTGAAGTCAGATCGAAAACAGTCTACTTCATGCATAAAAGTTCAATTCTTGTCGCCTGAATCAATGATGGAAGGCCTTCCGTGCAGCTAGTGTAATTCTGCGATGCATTTCTTTTGAGTTGTGAAACTCCCTCAAGTGCACAATGCCCAGTGAATAGTTTTTCTCTTTTAAATACCCACTCAATGGCACTCTGCATGATTTTAAGGGATTCTAGCTCGTTATCATCTCTGTTTCTTTTTGTGACCTCGGCGTAGAACTTTATGCTCAAGACCTTGTCAAGTTCTTGCAGAGCCATTTGTTTCAAGATTTTTTCAAGATGGCAGGACTGGCACTAGCTTTGGAAGACGTTTGTTCATTCACTGTTTTGTGGAGTGGGCATATTTTGACTGTGTTTATTCACAGCGACAGGGATGAGGTGTATTGCTTCATTTGAAACTACTGGAAACCTGGAAACATCTACGTTCTTGAGATGGCTATGAATTTGCTGTTGTGTGGTTTTCGTTTGTTTATGTTTTGCTGGACTCGGTATCATACAGATCTTACTGGTAAGTAGATATTGAAGAAAATTTGCCAAAGTATTCGCCAAAATGGACACCGAGAGTTGGAAACTTCCCTTAAGGCATCATGGTAGGTGAATTTTTATGAAAAACGCGAAAATATTTTTTTTGCTGTTCAAATTGAGAAGACTGAGATATATATCTTCCAAAAAGAATGATAAGAAAAGCTTTTTTTACTTTTTAAGTTAAAGAGAAAAACTACTTTTGAATCTCATTTACCCCTTACGGCACGTTGACACCTCTAAATAAAATTCACCACCAGTTGTCACGTGTAAAGCGAACTGCGGTGTGATATTTCATTAATGTACGCAAACTGTTCTTGATCTGGTTCTTTCATCGCAAGCATCAGGACGAAAACCCAAGAAAACGTCTTGCCCCTTTTCGTCTTTGAAGAAGCCGGAGAGGCAAAAATCTGGTGGAACCCACAGGTTCAGCATTGAACAAGATCCGTTGGCTCTGAGCGACCCACGTTCGCACTGTAACCAAGAAGAATGGTTGAAGGAACTCTAAGACACTAGTCCCACCAACGAAGCTGAAGGACAAACTACAACAAGTGCTAGTCGCACAAAATTGCTGGAGGAGGGGGACATGGGGACTTGCGGTGTTGATGTTTTTTTAATGCGGTGACACAGTGAATAAAATCTCAACTTGTGGTGTTGCGGTGATCTCAAATGCTACGGTGTGCGATGTTTGTGTTTTTCACGCTGCGGTGTTCAGTGAAATGAAATTGTTTGCGGTGCTAGGGTTTTTGCTTTACCTTTGTTAAACCTAAATTTGACCTAAATTTAGCATGTTAACTTCGTTAATCCATGCTAATTTATGACAAGCACATAACATTGAGGTTAATAATTTGTAACAAATTACAAACCATCACTTTCTAGTCAATCTTCAATAGGCTTCGGTTGCCAATCCGAAGCTGTTGTCATTTATACGTAACTTGACAAGTAACTCGACCTCTGCCAGCCGGGGCTCAGTGTTCGGTAGACATGTGGAGGAGCGAGGAAAGGAACAATCCTGAAAATTCCGGAATGCTAAGGCGGAATATAATGTATTATCGACTGTGCAGCTTTTTTCTACGAAAAAAGTAAAAGGTGGCAAAAATTACCGGCCACAAAGTATATTCAGATGTTGCGTCGGCAGGGAAGAAAGAAGGCTTTCTAAGTTAAGGAAGCTTTGTAAATTACACAAGTTAACTATTTTTTTCCTTTTGCTATTCAGCTTCGTCTATAGGTTATTCTGATACCGGTCTATACCTGCTCCAAGGTCCTGCCTCTTTCTTGATCTTCTACGTTTTCAAACGATTATTGATATCGAACACAAATGCAGCTAGCTCCGGAAAGCAATACTTTCAGTCCAGATAGGGTTTCAGTCAGCTCCTCTCTTTTTTCCTTGTCCGCTTCCTAGCTTTGCGCAAGGTTTCTTCACAAGAGCGAGAAGACTGATTTACAGGCATCAGCAGTATCGACATATGCGCAATGAAAAGAGTTGTGATGTGTTTATCTTGTGGAAAATTGTTGAGGTATAAAAGTATTATTTTAAGTGTAGATGAACAAATCATGGCGCTAAAGATATGTGTTGTGGTGACGGTGTTTTGTTGACTTTTCTTGCGGTGATGCGGTGTTTGTTAATTCTTTTTGCGGTGTTGCGGTGTTCAGACCCCCCCACCCCCCATGTCCTCCTCCTGGAGAACGGACGCAATTCCAAAACTTCCACAACTATAGAGTCAAGCGCAGATGTAGAGGTTGAGATTTCCTCTGTTGGTTTCACAAGGTATGGTTTCAAAAAATATCCGGAGAATGAAGAAGCCTAAACTTGAGCAACATAATACCAATGCTGCTGATGAAATCTTCTAAGTAAAAGAACTCACGGCAGTTTAATTACAAACCTGTATAAAGCTCTTGTTATTTTCTCGCTTCTTGGCCGATTTCAACGCAAAGGGGAATAGTAGACATCTGTTTATTTCAAGTTGTCATAAGCCAATGTTGTGGTACACTGACCGATGCCAACATCTGTCACTGCGGAGGGGATTTTTAACACCTAACCATACCAGTCTCATAAAAGATTTTTCGTCTTTTTATCAATAAAATAAAACTGCATATAAGGATGAACATTTTTAGTTCATTTACGGGCGTCTTCTGACGGAATTGACTGAAAATCGGCAGGTATGTTCCAGGATACCTCCTTCAAAAAAGGGTGTCAGGCTATGCTTAATTTCGCTTCTGTTTCAAAGTTATGACCTCTTTAGTAGAAGGAAATGTCCGCATTGAAAACATCAAACTTTAGGAGGGTGTAGAAAAAAAACCAACCCACAGCTGGAAAATTGCAGACACCCTTTTTGAGGGTGATGTGTGAGAAAACATTTCCGATATTAATTGCGCTGCTCTGATAATTCATGCATGGAAGCAAACCAGTTTAAGCAAAGCAGCATTTCTGGGTATTTCTTTTAATTTCACTGCAACAATAACTTTTTTAGAAAATTTCAAAGATATGATTGTATTCTATAACTATTAACTTTCAGAAAATGTATAGGTTGATGGAGTTTTCTCTCAAAGTGCCAGCGTAAGAGCACGATTTTCAAACACTGTCAATCCATCTACCATGATACCTTAAAGTAGGTCCTCAGCCTGAAGGAGCTGATAATCATCATTCAGAAACTGTAATTAATTAAATTTTTCAATTGTTTTGAAAAAGAAAAACAACAAAAGTTTCGGCAATAATAGTTGCAAAATTCACCACACAATGGCTTTTTGTCTTTCATTTTCCTTGAATTTTATTGGTTACTTTAAACTAATGTTGAAATCTGATTGGTTATTTTGTTTTACTGTCCCATTCTCATAGGCTGCTCAGAAAAAGATGCGATTTAGAGCAAAAAAAGGGGCAATTCATGAATAAATCGTACCACTGAGAGCCAATCAGATTGCAAGGATAACCAGTGATTTCAAAATGGATTTAATAAAGTTGGAAATAAAAATAATAATAGTCATTGTTTGTGTCCTACAATTTAATTATCCAGTTTTGCCTCGGTGACACCAGTTAATGCAGCTTCCAGTTAAAAACGCCTGGCCTAAAGTAAAATACTAAATGTTCACTGTGATTGCCTTTATTTGGAAGAAATTCGATTGCCAAAGATTTCCGATGAATTTTGAAGATCACCAAAGCTCGGCAAAGACTTTTGAACACTTTTGGAAATGTTCAAAGGTATTAATAATTATTGGAAAACCAAACACACTGCAGCCGGCCAAAGGAAATAATGTGTAGACGACCTTAAATAGTATGTAAGTGTAATATTAGGCAAACCCAGGCACTGTTTGCAGGAACCAATATTGGTGTCATTTCCGCTGCTGGTGCTCCCTTGTTCAACTTAATCCAAGAGCTTGACAAATATCTTGAAACAACGCCAACATTTTTTACTGAATCTTGATGAAGAAGATTTGTGAACAATTTTAGTGAAACGTGAAGCAAACTTTTGTCACCTGCTAAGTTTTTTATGTTTTTTTTGGCAGCTTTATGTCAACTTTCTGTTGGCTTTTTAAACAGGTTAGCCAATCCTGTTAGCATGAATTGTAATTTGTGGACTTATATTTAAAAACAAAAATGACAAATGAGTCGTGTTTTTTGATGAATTGTGAGTTTCTTGTTCAATGTGAAGAAATAAATGACAAGTTTTTATTGTAGAGTCTTTTTTGTAGTTGTTCCATGTGCAGCTGTCTGATGTTATGTAATCATGACATCCCATTTAGGTTTAAACAGGATTTTAAAAATTTTCAACTTTGAGTGGTCATATGATAAACTGCTTATTGACTGAGTTAGGTCGTGCCGGATGCAAAAATATTTGGCTCTTGGTCAAGACGTACGGACCCAGCGCAGCGAGGTCTGTACATCCTGACCTCAAGCCAAATATTTTGCCCCCATACTCAGTCAAAGTACATAAAGTTTCCTAGGTAAAATGTCAAATGTCTTTCATGGCATTTACTGTAACCAAGGTATCAGTTCGGGTTTACAGTACACAGGCAAAATGATTTCCCAAAACGCTCAAGTCTAAACACCCTGGCCCATTAGTGAGATATAAACCACCACAACACACCCAGTAAAAACCACAGAATATATCTGCAACTTTTAAAGGCAAAGCAAAATACTGGCCTAGAAATTGGTGGTGACAACCTCATGAAGTAGAAAAGTTATTTTAGTCGCAACTGGCAACTTCAAAATTTATTCAGTCGATTGTAAATTAACTATCTTCGAAACATAGCTTTAAAAATGCATGTACAGTGTAAGCTTACATGTACATGTAAACCAAATTGTGCAAACTGAAAAGCGATTGAAATATAAAATTCAATGGGTTTCGAACCCTAAACGAAGCAAATATCGGTATTATGTACGGTTCCAAATCGCTGAAATCAAGCAGAACTGAGAATAAGGTACTTTGAAAGCGCTGAAGGCAGATGGAACGCGAGCGAATATACCAACCAGTTCTTTTATGCGATAATCGGAAGGACAAATTTCACCATATTGCTTCAGAGAAACATACCGAGCGATATAAAAAATAACCTCTTCTGTTACACTTCACTTAAAAAAGTCGTTTTCTTACTATTTTCCCACAAGGGAGAGGGTTAAATGCTCAATTCTCCTATTTCACAGATTATAGAAGCTAAACCAAGTGATAAAATTTGAGAGAATCTGGAAACTCATACCGGCCGACTGATTGTTGTCCTTCTCACTGTGTGTTTCTCCTGAGAAACTGTATGAATTGCCGGGCTCTCTGACTTGTTCGCCTAAAGCGTCGCCTTCAAACTGTGCCTCTGTAACCGGACGAAAGTTCCCCATGTCGCAGTTCAGTGTCTTTTCGGGGCTAATCGTGTCGCCGGTTCCATCCGAAGCCATCTTCTTTCTCAAAACACATCACCTGCCCGTATCATTGCCAGGTGCATGCTGGGATTTTTCCGGAAAATCTCGAAATACTGCCGACCTCAGCTCGATATTCCGAGTGCAGTACATGTGTAGAAATGGCTGTCATTGAATAGTATTTTTTCTGCTATTTCAGTTTACGCAATTTTTACCGCCGTATGTCTTAGTCAATTTTCAAGGCTTAAAGGTTAATTTTCGCCTGTAGAGCTCTTAGAGGAGAGAGAAAACCGTGAGTAAGCGGAAATGCAACAGGCTCAGTTCTCGCCTATTACAGACGTGAAGATTGTATCTCAGAAGGAACGCTGCCCAGCTGGATATTTCATGGTAAATATTTATGGACTTTTATCTCTATGAATTAAACCCGTGGCAGTTAATCCAGAAGTTGTCGGCAATGCATTTGTTCCAAGTTTTCACTGGAAATATATTCAATTAAACTTATAATTATATATAATTATCGTCACGGTGAAATATTACAGAACATGTAGCAATTCTGCATTATATTTAAGCTTAAGCTTACATAAGCTACAATGTAAGCTCAAAAATAAGCTTGCATATTAATCGTTATTTGGGTTTAATTTATCAACTGGCGTCTAAAATGCCCGTATACATGCATGCATGGGTGAGGAATGTTTACAAGTGTCTTTTGTTTGAAGCGTTTGTTTTAGGCCTGAGGGATATTAAAACTGATTTGTGCAAGGGATTGCATGTAGTATGAGATCCTGAAGCCACGAAGTCATGAAAATGCACTTTAGAAAACAGTCCTAAGAAAATACCAAGCGCTGATTGGTTAGAAATCGTGTTTCTATAACTCGATNCTAGCCACTGTGGGCGTGCTGACCACCCTGCCCAGCTTAGCCACCCTCACCACTCTGGCCAACCTCCCTACCCTTCCCACCCTGGCTAGTCCCTTACCACCCTTTTCCTTCTTGCCAAGTGGAGCAAGTCTACACGTATGTTAGTACTTGTATTTGCTAATGTACCTACTTGTATGCTTTTTTTTCCATTAAAGCTTGCGAAGACTGTTCAAGGGCATGATGGTCAGCTATTTGACAGCACTTGGCGGCACAAAGGAAAACGTTATCTCTGCTTCACTCGAGAGGTTCATTATGTAAATTTTATGTTTCTGCATGAATTAGAATTCTACTGTTAGCTCCTGTAGTTCATCTGCAGATGTAGTGTATTTGTGACATACATAATTACATAAATCAAATGTTCAATTATTTAAACTGTGTTTGTTTGTGTTAGATATTTGTTTTTCACTTTTTAGGTTGAACATATGTGTACATGTATGTACATTTATAATGATGTGGTTTAAATTTATCTTTGGCGTAAAAGTTTTTAAACCAGTTTGATTTCATAATTATAATTGCTAAATAAAATTGAAATGGTTGGAAAAATGTAAATAAACAGAAATTCTAACTGCTAGCATGTACATGAACA